GCAATCTTCAGGAAGAACTTTTACATAATTAGTCCTGATATTTCTACTTAAAACATACCTTAGGTGTGAATTTAAATTTATATATGATACACATGGGCAAATGAAGACCAGTTTGAAGCCTAGAAAGGCAAATTAAAATGATACATAGTAGTAAAAATGTGACACAAATCTCTACATCATTTTTTCATGAGTGATTTAAGCTTATATTATAATTATCAGAATAATCTCATAGCAATATAACAATTCTAGCTTTATTATAAAAAAAAAATCTCTTCATTGCATATGACAGTCCTGTGGCAGGTTATGATAATACATTACTGCAATGCTATACATTGTGCCATCTTATTTCTGGTTATCCTCTCTGTCCTTTTAAGTCAAATAGGTGTCCATACCTAGTGTTTGAAACTATTGAGTTCTGTTTTATTTTTCCATCCTTAGGTCAAATTCTTTTTTAAAAACTTGAAATCAAAGCTTCTGATCAGTACTGTCTATTCAGAATTGTCATCACTAAAATTAGGAGAACTAAATCTTCCTTGTAAACATCCTGCTTTACCCCCTCCACTGAGAACAGCATTATTTTATTACAGACAGCACAGGCTATTCAGAATAGATATCATTTTTGCTGTATCCCATCTACTTTTAGTTGTAATCATCACACTTGGGCAGAAATGAGGAAACTGAATGATGGACTTGGAAAATACCATTTGCAAATAAGCTTCTCTTCATCAGAAAAATGACACAGAACAATTCTGGAGAGCAGAACAGTTGCTGCTCAGGGCATTGCATTCACATTACCTTCTTTTAGTAGGTTTTGTTTCAGAATAGCTCTAGTCTGATCCTAAGGACTGACTGCTCATGGGCAGCACACACTGAGTCCAAAGAGATTCTAGTCTCATACCAACCAGCTGCAGCCCCCATGTTCCAAGAATCTCTGCAGTAAGAGCCAAGTGAAAACAGCATGGCTGGGAAATTTAACCCTCAAAATTTTCTTCTGGGCTGCACCAAAATACTGCCACAGTTTCATCCATTGCCTTCAGCACAAGGACTTTCTGGAATCCTAACAGCACTCCTGGATCAAATTTAGGTATACGTACATAAACAGTTACTCTGAGGATTTATTAACTGGAATTCTCACTGAATTAAAAGCTGCATTTCCTCCCTTTCCCCTCATTAACTTTTCATAGTGTTTTTCCATGACTTTATTCAGAATAACTTACATATTTATACTATTTTTAAGTGAAGTACAATATTTACTTGGTTATCCTGTACCATACTTCATTTACTTCTCCTCATAGAGGGGTTTTTTCCCCTCTATAGAAAACATTTGGAAAGGGGGAAACCAGCAACTAATTAAGGAAGAATCAGGGTAGATAGGAAACAGGGTAAAAGGGGGAAAGGAATTGTCCTGAACTAAGTCTCCACTTCATATACTAACACAGAATCTAATGTGAGTCAAAATTCATATTTAAAATGAGAATGATTATATCAACATCTCAGAAGTGTACAGTGTTGTCTATTTAGGAAAGGTAATAAAGTCTACGTACTAGACTTCAAAAGTAGAAACAGGCCACAGATTTACAGATGTGGGAGTCCAGTTATTCAAAAGTGCTTGATAAATTTTCATTTGGTGAACAAACATCAAAACAGAGGACTGCTATTCTTGAGTCAAGAAAACAAGCATCCTATATAGAGTTTTTGGAAGAATTCAAAAAGGGAAGACTGCCAGAGATCATCACTACTAATCATGGAACCGAAATCTTAGTACAGGCCAAAAACTGGTGACTCAGGACAACATTTAACAGATTGTAAGATTTCTGTTGGCAACCAAAGCCTACTAAATCTTCATTTAATTTGATAAAATTGTTTTAACAGTTTTAAAACTCTTGTTCTTGACAGCTCTCCAATCAGTCAGAATACACTTCCATTTTCTTTAGGTATTTAGTGTTACCCTTTTTTAAAATTACCAGAACATAATTTTTTTAACCAGTAGCTCTTTGGCTTGAAATACTTGAAAAGTCCAAACTGAAAACAATAGCTGAATTAGGTCTGACTATTCAGCAGTGTTTAAATAAACCATTATTGCAGGTTATTTTAAAGTCTACATACTCAATTCAATACATTTATAGTGTTCGACTGCATTTACAGAATGTATAACGATTTTGCATCTAGGTATGTGCTGAGGCATATAAAAGAGAAGCCAACCAACACTTCAACTTTCTTGGTAAAAATCTCATTTCGTTAATGTGCTCAGCAGTCCTTTCCTCAGAAGAATTATCATTGTCTTTAGACAGCACAATTAAAATTACAATTTTAATCTAAAAGCAGTACAGATTTAAACAATATAGCTCCTGATAGAAAATTTCTATAACAACATGAATGCTGACAAAGCCTTTGGCATCCTATGCAAAAAAGGCAGTACCCACCACTCTGTGAACCTAGGACTGATATCAATTCATACAAAATACAGTAAAATGCAAGAAAGAGACGCATCCTGAAGCTAGAGTCTGAAGCAACTTGCCACCAAAAAAAAAAAAAAGCACCTTTTTTTGCTTTCTGTGTTTTTTAACAGCTATCTTGTTTTTTATTGGCTTGAGAAGGATGAAATAGGAAGGTTTGTAAAATAAGGTGATATGCATTTGTGCTGATTTTACGCACCAGCAAAAAAGAAAATGCACTCTGCACTTTCTTGATAAGAACAATTTCCCTGACAATGGAGGAAGAAGGCAACCTTGTAGATCTAATAACAAACCAAAATCAAATGTATTCCATATACATACAACTATTATTTTTTAAAATACAATATGTACAAGAATAGTTTCCTCCTCACCTCATTTTTGTTTCAAGAACAGCCACAGATTAGAAAATGCAATTTATTATCTAAGAGACAGTCAAACAGCCACTGGATAAACTTTCATATATATACACACATGTAATATATACATACACACACATACACTGCTCTTTTTGTGTGAGACTGAAAAGCAAATTATAGCTGATAAAACTCCTGATCAATTATCAATCTTTTCTAAATAAGCATTAAACAGAATATGTTGCCATTATAAAAAAACAGAATCCAGGCTCTTTTTGTATCCTTCAGTTTTTACTTTAAAATTACTTGTTAAATTAACCTTCATCATATGTATATCATTTTGTTCTATAGTGCTGCCAGTTGCTGCAAACTACTAAAGCAGTCTTACAATATCCATGTTAAACTTGTGTGTAATGTCCCACAAATCAACATCCTAATTCCAACGTGAAGCTGCAGACTCATCCAAAATGCACAGAAAACTAAGCATTGAGCTCGTTTGTTTATTTCACTATTTGTGACATTTGGTTAAGTGGCTCCACCTGCTGTTTTGATAACTAAGAAAATGACGTATTATTAAAAAACAAACCAGTGCCAGAATTCTGACAGCAGTAAAAGAAATTATCAGTTGTGACCTTGCCATTGTGTGAAATTTTTATGACAGTCTTTCACACAGTATTTGAAAATACAACATTCACATATTTACAAAAGACCCAGAGAAATAGCCCACTTTTAGAATTAGGGGGCAGAGAGGGACAAAAATCTCACTACTTAAATGTAGCAGTAAGAAGTTTCAGAAAAGCTGCTACACCTGCACAGAAAGCTTCCTGTGGTTTCATTCATGAAGATAAATGTCTGGTGCCCTTCTACACCTGTTCCCTGGGGGTTTTTTTCCCCTTATTTAATAGTTTGCATCTACTTGCACAGCATTTTTTAAACTCTTTATTTACCCTAAGTGTATTTAAGAAAAAAAAAATAAAAAATTCTAGAGGCCTTCTAGCTCATATTTCCAACACATTTGCAGTTGTTATTAGTAAGAGCTCTGAAATACTTTTGCTCTGAATGTCAGGTTCTCAGTGACCAACACAGCAGTTGAAACTTGACTTCTACAAAGTTCAAGTTAAGTTAACCCTTCATGCATTTCACCACAGTTCTCCATGCCTTCAGATATGTCATGGATGCCCTGCTTGATCTGGTTTCTTCTCTCTCACAGGTGTGCAGGTAAGGGGGGAACAAGGACCCCCTGGTCCCCCAGGCCCTGCTGGACCAAGAGGACAACCAGGACCTGCAGGAAAGCCAGGGTTTGGAAGTCCGGGTCCCCAAGGCCCCCCCGGTCCCCGAGGACCACCTGGATTCTCTGCAGTCGGAAAGCCAGGTGCGCCAGGTCTACCAGGAAAGCAAGGAGACAGAGGACTAAATGGTGAGAGAGGAGAACCTGGACCTGTTGGACTCCCAGGACCAAGAGGGCCACAAGGACCTCCCGGCACTCCTGGCCCCGCAGGACTGTCTGTCCCTGGCAAGCCAGGACCACAAGGCCCTCCAGGTGCTCAGGGGCCGAGGGGCCTCCCTGGTGAGAAGGGAGAGCCAGGTATCCCTGGCATAAATGGACAAAAGGGAGAAAATGGATTTGGCATTCCAGGCCGCCCAGGTAGCAGGGGTCTTCCAGGCCCACAGGGACCCCGGGGCCCCCCTGGTCCTACTGGAGTAGGGAAGCCTGGTGAAAATGGTCTTCCAGGTCAGCCAGGTCTGAAAGGTGACCGAGGTTTTCCAGGTGCACCCGGGGCGGCTGGTCTCCCTGGTCCCCAGGGTCTCCCAGGCGAACCTGGAGAAGCTGGCATCGGCAAGCCTGGGCCAATGGGACCACCAGGAGCAGCAGGCATCCCTGGAGCCAAGGGACATCCTGGACCTGCAGGCTTGCCTGGATCCCCAGGTCTTCCAGGTTTTGGAAAGCCAGGATTGCCAGGGATGAAGGGACACAGAGGTCCTGAAGGTCCTCCTGGCCTTCCAGGTCCTAAAGGAGACCACGGCCCAGCTGGTGTGCCAGGAGAGCCAGGGCCAGTTGGGCCACCAGGGAACATGGGCCCTCCTGGACTCAAAGGTTTGCCCGGAGAGAATGGCTTCCCTGGGCCCAAAGGTGACATGGGCCCTGCAGGCCTTCCAGGATTCCCAGGGGCCAAGGGGGAACGAGGCTTACCAGGAGCAGAGGGAAAACCAGGATATCCAGGTGAGCAGGGTCTTGCTGGTCCTAAGGGACACCCAGGTCTCCCAGGTCCAAAAGGTGACACCGGCCATGCCGGGCTACCTGGATTGCCTGGTCCAATGGGTCCACAAGGAGCCAAGGGAGTGCCAGGGATCAATGGAGAGCCAGGCCCCAGAGGGCCGTCAGGAATACCTGGGATCAGAGGCCCCATTGGCCCCCCTGGTCTGCCAGGAGCCCAGGGTGCAAAGGGTGAGCCGGGAGCACCAGGACTGCCAGGCCCAGCAGGTATTTCCACGAAAGGCTTAAGCGGACCCATGGGACCACCTGGACCCCCTGGGCCTAAAGGCAGCACTGGCGAGCCTGGCATGCCAGGCCCCCCCGGGCCTCCTGGTCCCCCTGGCCAAGCTGTAATCCCACAGATGCCTGAAGGCTATGTTAAAGCAGGAGAGTCTCGGGAGCTATCAGGAATATCTTTCATAAAGGGAGGAGTAAACCAAGCTCTTACTGGGATGCCGGTGTCTGCTTTCAGTGTCATCCTCTCAAAAGCTTACCCTGCAGCAACAGTCCCTATCAAATTTGATAAAATCTTGTACAATAGGCAGCAACACTATGACCCCAGAACAGGAATCTTCACCTGCAGAACCCCTGGACTGTACTATTTCTCCTACCACGTACACGCAAAGGGAACAAATGTTTGGGTTGCACTCTACAAAAATGGTTCCCCCATCATGTACACATACGATGAGTACCAGAAAGGATACCTGGACCAAGCTTCTGGCAGTGCTGTCATTGATCTCATGGAGAACGACCAAGTATGGCTCCAGCTGCCCAATTCAGAATCCAATGGTCTCTATTCCTCTGATTACGTTCACTCTTCTTTCTCAGGTTTCTTGTTTGCTCATATTTAAAAACATCCCACTTACCCTGTCCTGACACACTCTCCTTCAGACCTTTGTAACTGGGTGCTGATTTGATTCATCATTAGCATTTTGTTGCAACTGCAATATTGCAGCAGTAATAGAGGAGGAAGTGAGGAGGTGGAGAGTGGTTCAAACCTAGTAGAATGATACTGTATGTTTTTAGAGACTTGTCACAAAAAATTTGCTTTAAATGATGATCAATTGTCTGACTAAATGCAACATTAAAATTCTATGAATTAATATAATGCACTAGCCTCTCTTTTTTTTTCTTTTCTTTTAAAAGGGAAAATCAGAACTTGTAACTATCACTTCTCATAACACATAAAGGATTCTAGATCATACTTCACTATACTTGAATTAAATGAAGGTACTTTATTCAAAGTAAATGGTCTCAAACACACCACAGTCATAACAGCTGGACAATATAATTCAGGAACATTCTGTGGCCAGCTTCATCTTTAAGCTATCAAACAGGACTTAAGAATAACAACTCTAATACAGTGCACATCATGTCACAATTTTCATTTAGTTACACTGTTTTTATTAATGAATAAGTACCTTGGGGAAAAGCAGATTTAAAAATTATTACATGTTACGGAAGATATAAGACTTCTGCAATATGAAAAAGCAACCAGATTGAAACCTTGAAATCCACTTAGCTTTCTTTGATGCACATTGCTGCAACAAACTAGTTCAATATTTTTATATCTCCTAATATTCTGTAAAAATAGAATATTCAGAGTACTATAAAATAATTTTCACAAAATCCAAATATTAAGAACATATTTTCACAAGCATGGAAACACTTATAAAATCAGAACAGATTTACCACTCCAAAATTGGAGATAACTCTTGCCCTGATATTCCTTGAACTGTTAATTCCTTTAAAAAACAAGTGTGGGGAGTATATATATCTATATATGTTATATATAGATATACATATAATATAATATAATATAATATATATTTTACTTATTTGGTAAATTTATCAGACAATGGCAGTAATTAGTCAGCAGACATAACCATATTTACCATATCTACATACACTCACGTCTCATAAACATTACACAGTTCATTAATGTGTTATGGTACTTCATAAAGAGTGTATGGCATAAAGTAACTTAGCTTATAAATTATGAAACTGTAATAATGTGGTTGCACAATTCTTCCAATTACCAGTTACCATTCATGTGCTTCAAAAGTATCATATACATCAAAACCTTATGAACTCTTAAAACTACTACAGTTAGCTTTGTTTTTTTAAACAGAAGCTTTTAATCACCCGCACTAACAGTATGTGGGCCTTATGTATAAAAATTCTGTGATGTTACTATTTCTCCATGAAAGAAGAACTTGAAGCTTGTTATGTTGTATACATTTGAAATCAGCAATTTCCTAAGCACTTGAAAATATGATGGGATTAATAAAAAAAGCTAAGATACCTTTTGCTTGATCCAGTAACAAAGATATATAATGTTTTGGATACTCCAAAGACCTACCAAGAAAGTAACTTGAAGAATTTTTTTTTCTCCTCTTATTAAGTGCTGCCAGATACGGAAGACTGTGGTTTAGGCCATACTTCAGTAAAATAATAAATGATTAAATAAAGAATGTAACATGACATCTACTTATTTTAGCAGTCAAGGGGACATAGACAAGCAAATTTGTCCTACTGCTATAAACACTACACACAAATGTTTGTATGGAAATAATACAAAGAACAGTATCACAATTTACAAATAGCAACCATGCAACACTTATCTTTCAAGCCAATATAAAGCTCCAGACACTCAAGTCTGAATTGCCTATTCCCACTTTTCTAGCTTAATGTTTTAGGCCTAATATTAATTATAGATATCTTAACAACAATCTCTTTTTTGCACTAAAAATGTTTTCCTGTGCAGCCACTCACATTAGTTCAACAGCCCTTTCCAGTATTGTAACAGAGCATGTGCTTCTGCCCATACATTCAACCAATGTGGAACTTTTGTTTCAGAAACAAATAGAGGGACTAGGTACAGGAGCTGGAAAATACGACTTAGTAGTTGTGAGGTTTCTGGTTAATTACTTTACATATGAAACACATGCCAAAGAACATGTTTAAAATTATTGGGAGATGTTTGGTGCTCATGATTACATTACTGTACTGTGATTCCAATTAACTAACAAGAAACTGGGCCCAGACAATATTCTTAAAAGCACTGTAAATTAGAGTTTGTCCTTTAACATCTTTGTTCCTGGAACATATAGGATTTCAAATAAGTCTACAGGTTGGTACCATATGCCCATTTTTTTAAAGTCTTTTCATTATTGCTCAGATGTTGCATCATTAAGAAAACAACTCTTAAAACTGAAAAGCTAGAGAGTATACAGCAAATTGTGGCATAAGCACAACTTATACTTTGATTTCAGATTTGGATTCTCAATTTAGAGGGTTCCTTAAGAAGGTCTGTAAGATCTCTTCTCAGTGGTGATCAGTGACAGGACCAGAGGGTATGGCCTGAAGTCATGACATGGGAGGTTTAGGTTGAATATTAGAAAAGGGTTCTTTACCCAGAGAGTGTTTGGGCACTGGAACAAGTTCCCCAAGAAAGTGGTCACAGCACCAAGCCTCACAGTGTTCAAGAAGCATTTGGACAATTTTCTCAGGCACATGGTGTGACTCTTGGGGATGGTCCTGTGCAGTGCCAGGAGTTGGACTCAATTATCCTTGTGGGTCCCTTCCAACTCGGCAGATTCTGTGAAGACTTTTCAGTTTGAATTTAATATTTTCTCCACATGAAGATCAGCAATCTACCTAAAGATAAAGCCCTTCCAGAGACCTCATCTTTTCTGGATCATGGGCAGTAGAGGAAAAAAATCCAACATGAGATTAAAATAAAAACATAAGAGCCTGCAATAGTACAAAAATCACTTCCAAAGAGGTACTGAAATTCCTGAAGCCTTAAGTTGTCAAAAACATGAAGCAACCAAACAATCCCTTCTGTATTTAGCTGGAAAGCACAGCAAAGAAATGCAATAAGTTTACCTGCTTCTTTGTTGCAGTTTTCACAATTAAGACAAATAAGGATATCTCATCACTGCTACATCAACATTAGGAATTACTAATGTTTTGCAGAATTTTTTGAGGATTCTTCCTTTCTGGCCAAAAGGGCACCTTTGCTTTTTGTTTTTCATATTTGAAGTTGCACGTAAAAGATAAAACACACATATCATAGACATCTAGATTCATTACTTTCTGCCAAGACCATAAATTTGTGATCAAAAATGTGTGTATCTCATCAAGCCTTCTTATGCACAATTTATGAAGTCTGTTGCCATATCAGTCATGATCTTTTTACTTCCCAAATGAAATGTAATCTTATGAACTGATTGAAAATATTACAAATACATAATTTTAACTATATAACCACAGATGCTACAGTTTTCAGAAGTGTCAGGAAAATTATAGGGAAAGACAACTATGCAGGAGAGAAAAAGTAGCCTTTAAGATAGCAAATTTAAAAGAATCTACTTTAAGAAGTTATATGAGGCAACATTTGCCTAAAAAAAGGAATTGACTTTTCTGACAAAAAAAATCATCAAATCTGAAATTTTTCACAAGGAAATGATTCTACAGTACTTCAAACTTTCATTAGTCCTCTGAAGAGCAAACTTAGTCTCCATAACATGTTGAGGGCCTCTGTCCACATATCTTACTAGTATAAAACACATTGCCTCAAGATGTTTCCTTTAAAATTGCTCTTTACTAATGTCTGTGGAACATGCTCTAAAAGCAACACATACAAGGTAACAGTAATCACCTTACAGTTGCAAAATATTCCAGTAATAAATTAAAGATTTACAAAACAGATTCTCAAGTCAACTTGGATATCAATTGCAGAGGGCATTCTTGCAGGTATTATTAGGTAAGAAATGACCACACTGCAAATATGAATATCTGTGTTCATTGCTACCTGACCTCACGCATTTCTGACAGTACTGTTTCATAGATTTTTTCTTATTTTAAAAATCATTTTTCAAAAAGGAATGTCTGAATAACACAAGACTATTTTAGAACCCTCTTAGTTTCCTTTTGCAAGCCTCAGTTCTTCACTTCTTTACAAGTACAAGAGTGGGTTAATACACTTCATCAAGCTGAGTCAGCACAATCATGCCTATCTGAAAGAGCCATCCAAAAAAAATATCATAGGGCAATTATCTAAGGCAATTACCATAGCTAAGACAATGAAAAGCAAAATCTATCAGACACCTGATTATGATCAAAAAAAAATCATGTGAAAAAGAGAAGGGACATAGAGAAACAAGGGCATACTGACAACAAATCAAAGTGAACTGCAAACACTTGGTGGATTTCAGAAAATAAAATGGTCAGTCGTTCTGCTCTGTCACTGACAATGGCACCACTAAGACGGCATTTCAAGCTGGGAACTTTGCGTCTCCTCAACTGGCCACTTAATAAGTTTGTTCTTGAAATTTTACCTTGACTAAGTGTTAATGAGCACTGCTTTTCTCCCAAGGGTTAAACCCTCAACAAAATATGGAGTTAAATCAAAAGCCTGTGATTTTCAGGCCAGGGTCTGGACTATGAAAGACAGTGGGGCTTCCTGGTATGTAGGTCTTGGAGCCAGGTTTAGGCATTTCCTCAAGAAGTTATGTTAGACATGCAATTGAGAAAAGTAAAATCTCTTTGGCAGAAGCTAGTGATAAAAGATCAGTATGCTTATTCTCATTTCACAGAGAGGCCTGAAGCAAAAAGAAATGCTCCATGGGAACATCAGTGCTAAGTGATACAGGAAGAAATTATCTCTGGTTCTTCTGAATCCTTGTTCAGTGCTTTATCTACTGGACCATACTATTAAAAGGAAAACAAAACCACTATGAAGCCTTTCAAAGCAATGCATGACAGAATGTATCACTTTCTTATTTTTCAATATTTGAGTAG